CTAACCATGACTCAGAGTTAGTCTGATCAAAAAAAATGTAGCAGAGTGCAGAGGTTCTAGATATACCAAGGGAAAATCTTCTAGATTTTTTAAGTCATGCAGAGGTAAATTGAAAATATGTTTCTTAGCTTCTTAGATTAGTCGAAATCTTCATGAAATGTATATTTCAGGACTGATCAGAGACAGATTAAGGGACAGCTGCAGAATTCAAGATAAAAACGATTTACTGGCAATGCAACAAGCAATCAAATCTGGCTGAAAAAGTACTTTGCAAGAAGAAAAAATCTATATTAAAAATGTAACATATCTTTTTGTCTTTTGTAATTCAGCAAGACTCAGAAATAGCTGTTCCAACAAACCCAGACCCAGATGCAGAGTCAGAATCACAGGTAAGACCGACTAAGGAAGCTACAAGAATCAAAGCACAAACAAGAGTGTGCAAATCAGTTAATAAATGAATTGAAATAAAACTTTCAATACTGAGACTTTTGCTGTTAGAGATATGTGGGACACAATTCTAAAGTAGATTTTGCTGCTCCTGTGATGGAGGATAGTACAGCTGAAAGGCACATTGAAATGATTGTGTGCTTTCAGATGTTTTTCTCAGTTAAGTGGCTTTCAGTGTATAAATCCAATATCAAACTATCTGATATAGAGAGGATTTTGTTACCTGCCAAATATCAGCAGTAAAATAGTTTGGTTGTTAGGATTTTTGATGTTATAATATAATTGGTTGTTACACAAGGGACAAATATGCTCATATTTTAAAGTCTAAAAAATACATTTTCACTTACATCTATTCATATTACTTGTGCCAAAGATTTTTCCTGTTTTTATTTGTTATTGATGTTGCTGAAGTTTCTGAGCCATTACAAAAAAGCCACTTTAATGAACCAGTCTATCTGTACATTATAACATTTTTATTTTGTTACTGTTTTATTCTCAGCTATATGAAAGCACTGAATAAATGTATGGCGTTCAAATTTGTGTTTGGGCTTATTTTTAGCTAAATACAAAAACCTAAGAAAAGCCTTTAAATCCTGTAACTGCAGGTTGATCATCACCAACCCTTATAGCAGGGGAACCAATTAAAATTCAGCGGGGTCCGAATAAATAAAATCATCAACCAGTAAAGGTCTGGAGACATTTTTAATGATCTGTTACTTTAAACAGTTTTTAAAACTGAAATAAAATGAGGTGTTTATGCATCCATGTTATACATTGAATTTTTTAATAAAAAAAAAAAATCTATTTTAAAATCTAAAGTGTTTTTTGAAGTAGAGAACAAAAATAGTTTGGTATACAGACAATTTCCTGATTCACATATTTTAGAAAAGACCTGAACTGAGTGTTTCTTTCTTTTTTCTGTCTTAATGTTGGCAGTGGGCTTTAGGCTGCCCTTCTAGGCTTTAAACCTGGGTTTAATGGAGACTAAGCCATTGTTAAGCACATATCAAGGTGCTCATTTTAAACCTGGATCCATATTTATTTTTGATTCTGTTCATGGTGGAGAATCCTGCTTCACAGCAGCAGGTTGAGCCAAACATCCTCTAAATGTTCAGGCTCCGCTCCGGTCAAGATCCGCTATTGCAATCGCACCAAACAGGAAAAAGAACGGCGAGAAGATCCGGTTTGTCAGATTAAAATATAGTAACAACACATCCATAACTACAAATTAGTAATTCATAATTCTTATATATTTAAAAAAACTAACACCATTTATTTAAAAGATTGGATGCAAACTATTGGTTCTTCAACAGACCAGGAAGCCGATTTCTCATCTCCATCAGAAATTGAACATCTGCTGGATGCTGATTTTTTTTTTTTATATGTCAGATTAAATTAAGCGTTCATTTCTGCATGTTTTGTTCCTATGAATTTAATGATAATATCGCGCATCCTCTCCTAAAGCTCAGAGGATAAGGAACAGCGGAGGCTGTAGGCTTTGATTTGCGGCGGAGCAGTGATGGAGGATGTGGGATTTCAGGGTAACAGGAGAAGCGGCACAAGTGACGTTTAGACACTGTCCTCAGACAACATGTGGTAATTTATAAATGTTTTAAATCAGGTTGGGTCCGGATTATCCAACAGGTGGATCTGGATCCGGACCACGGTCAGCTAATCCGTGACTTCTGCCTTATAGTGTCCCCACCAACTTTCATTACAAAGTTACACCCTTGATGATTATATTTGTAACAAAAAAAACAGCACAGCTATTAAGCAAAGCCCCACTTAACAAGTGTGTGCAGGATCTCAAACCAGAACAGATAGAGATTGTTCATATATTAAAACCATAATGAGATCCTCGTCTAAAGAAAAAACAAACACAGCAATAAACGCCGTGGTACGGTTTCTATGCTGACTGAAGCAGAGAGGTGATTCTCAGACAGAGATCTGGGAATTTTATCAAAGTTTTTGTTTCTTTTTTTTTTATAAAGAGGTGACAGAGATACGCTACGCTAACCCATTCTGTCTGCCCCTTGCTATTCTGTGATTATTGTGAGGTTCAAAGAAGATCACTATTTTACTATATCCCATTTTTGTCCACCTGAAGTTATTTTATTTTTCGAGGAGATTGATAAACTGCCCCTCGTTTTTGTGAGGCTCAAAGAGGCTCACTACTTTCTCCGTTTTGTCCTCCTAAACTCCTATCATTGGTAAAGTTTTTTGTATGTTACATTTATTGTTTTCAGGGAAGTATGTTCCGCTTGATATATACGCATTGTGTGTCTCCCAAACCGACTCTTTCCCCATGCAATTGACAGATTTTATTAATATTTTTCCCCAAAAGTCTTTTACTTTGTAACCCCGTCTCCCTTCCTGTCAGACTCATGAAATTGCAGCCGAATTGCTGTGTCGTCCAAATAGTATAGACCTAGGGTCTATCTCAGTCGGACATAAGCAGCCCTCTTGCGTAAAATCATGTTGCGTGTGATCATCCTCACTGACTTTTAATTAGCCAAACGCCATGACCTTTTCCAACACTATTTTCTGTTGGATCGGATGCAACATTGGATTCAGTGTGTTCTGGCCTTAATGCTTTTTAACATTGGTAACATAAAAAGTTTAAGCCTTTATCGAATTAAAAGCTGATAAGTCTCTAGGGCTTTGCAAACATGGAAAATGTAACGTACCATGATAATGAAGACCGAGTCCACATGAGATGCTGATCTTGCTCTCTTTGTAGTTTTCCCAGAGCATTGCATAGTCTTGGAGTGAATTTGGGAAATGGCCAACACCAGGAAGAGCAGTCACTGTTAAAAATTTCCTGACATTTCCAGAAAACCTGATCCAATCTCCAAGGAGGCAGGATATTCTTATTTGCATTACTTTATAACTACAAGTTTAACACCTCCATGCTACTTGCCTGCTGCTGTTCCGTACTGTTACCTGATATTAGCATTAAAGCTAATATCAAAAATTAAAAGTGGGATTATTTTAAACCAATATTGCATTGAGATTTTATTTTGATTTTCCTTATCATTAACCAAAATCATGTAAATGTTTCACTGCAGCATATCATTTTCTTCATGACCTGGAGAGCTTGCTTGTCCAGAGTCCATTGTTGCAGGACTTAACTGTAACTTCTGCGTGCTAGCTGCACCACTCTCTTCCTTTCTGTGTGGTTGCAAACCCACTTTAAGCATATTACCGCCTGCTAAAGGGCTGTAGGGATAAATCTTTCTACCTACTGTTTAAATGTAACATGAGCAATAGTGATGGCCTCTTCGATTTAAAAATTGCCTTTTGTTAAATTGCGATTATATTGAAAATGCTATTTATTGCCCAGCCCTAGTTAGCATATTATGCAACAGACTGGCCACCTGCCCAGGGTGAACCCCACCTCTCGCCCGTAGACAGCTGGAGATAGACACCGGCCACACAGTTCGGAAGAGGATTAGGGCCAATTAAAAAAAAAAAAAGTTTAAAGTTTTATTTCAGTTTAACATGGGAAAAAAAAGTCAGAATTCTGACTTTTTTTTCCTATGTTAAACTGAAATAAAATTTAGAAATCAGTTAACTTTTTTTTCCAGTGGCCCTAATCCTCTTCCATACCACAGCCACCCTGACAAATATTAAGCTCAATAAAATGGATGGATGGATAGTTAGAATATTAATAAACTAAGCAGCAGCAACCTCTTCATGGATTTTGAGCCCCTCTTCTTTTAAGTCAGCACCTACCCTCAAAAGATTTGGGGGTTTTGTTGCCTTGAATCTGAGAGATGTAACGGCTGGATGAAGCCATTTGTCAGCCCTATAACAAAGTTACTACCATCTATAAAATCAGACACTTCTAATTCAAAGTTAACATTTTTTAAAATGTGTCTATTTTGAGTTATATTCAAGTACTTTTGAACCTGGTTAAGATGAGCGCATTTTGTTTATGTTCTGATGTGTAAAATCCTAAATCTGAAAGTGTGTGTAGTTTTATATTTCGTATTATCTGATTCTGCTTGTTTTTCTTGGGAGGAAACTCACCGCCTTCCCCCCCGCCTCCTCGTTGCTCACTTGTTTCTTCGACTGGGCTCTGCATACCTGATGGTAGGCTGCTATTTACCTCCAAGACTGATGGAGAAAAACAGAGAGAAGTAAATGATTAGCCTTGGACAGTGAACAGTGTTACGTCCCTCAGGAATTTCCACAGAGTGTATCAAGTCAGCTTCTATTTCCTTCACACAAACAGTGGTAGTGAAAGTCAGGGACACAGTGTCCTGCCTCCCTAAAATAGGCACAAACCTAACATTAGCCGTAACACTGTTACCTTGGCATTAGTATAAAGTATATTCAGCACGTTTCAGCTGAAGGACACAGAGGAGAATGATTACTGCTGGAAAAACAAAACTGTCACAGAGGATGCAAAATATCGCATAAAGTTGGCGACAAAATTTGGAGAGATGAAAAAAAAATGAAGATGTTTTCCATTAATAATTATGTTTAGCAGGCATGGGAGGGTTTGTGGCGAGTCTAAACCTGTCAGATTACGTATGTAGAAACTCATCAGATTGTCAAAAGAACTTATCACAAATAATGTACAGAGACTGTAGAAATATCTTACTGTCATTTGTGCGTATGGTTGCCTAGAGCAGTGACTCGCAACCAGTGGCACAAGTACTTGTACTCCTAGTGGTTCATAAGTGCATTGCAAAGAGTTAAAAAAAATATGTATATTATTTCTCAGGTAATACGATGAAATAGGGCTGGGATCTGTTCTGCTTTGTGAGGACCCATAGAACAAGCTTTATTCAACCAAAAAATAATTTATTCTTACATTTTTGAGTTCACCTTCAGCTTTGACACACATTAAAACTAAGCTGAGGAACAGATTGGATGTAGAAAACAGCCTGGGATCAGCTTTTTCAGGCTCAGGTGTCCTGAATGATGAAAACAATATAAAAAGATATGGTTTCAGTCTGACTATAATTTTTGTTCAGTATTGTGTTCCCAATTCCTCAAGTTTAAAGGAAAAGTCGGTAATATTCAGAATACAAACTTCTGAAAGTAATTCAAATATGAAATTATTCCATACTGTTTAATAAATGATCAGTGTTTTAATTAAGAGTAATTTCATCTGAATGTGCTTTACTGTAGACATCCATGTTTGTCAAAGAACACTACTGCCACCTACTGGTT